CTACCGCAGGATGTAGTCTACAACCCATTTATTAAGGTCGCCTTGGATATAGCACCGAGGCTGAGACATGAGGAGCATTGCGACTTGGTCGTTGCACTCACACACATGCGCGAGCCTAACGACATCAAACTTGCAGCTGCCGTACCAGCCGGAACGTTTGATATAATATTAGGCGGACACGACCATTTCTATTCTCATAAAGTGGCCAATGGCGTCGACGTGGTATGCAGCGGTACAGACTTCAGGCAATTGAGCTACATTGAAGGCTTCCGCGATCGTAACAGCGGAACATGGACGTGGAATATTACCAGGCGTGACTTGACCAAAGATATTGCAGAAGATGAGCGAACGCAGGGACTGGTAGAGTCAATTTCCGGATACATGAATCGGCAATTAGACAAGGTAATCGGATGGACGGACGTAGCATTAGATGCCACTTTCGAGACTGTGAGAAGCCGAGAAAGTAATCTAGGAAATTTTGTCGCCGACATTCTGAGAGTCTGGTACGATGCAGATGTCTCACTAGTCGCTGGAGGCACAATGCGTTCTGACACTATCTATCCCCCAGGGCCAATCCGAATGAAAGATATTGTTCTTGCGTTTCCATTTGAAGATCCATGTGTGGTCATTTCGGTCTCCGGAAAGGAGCTCCTGGAAGCACTGGAGAATGGTGTCTCAAAATTGCCAGCACTGGAAGGACGCTTTCTACAAGTTTCTGGTATCAAGTACACGTACTGCCTAGGCAAGTCTCCTCGAATACAGTCAGTCGAAGTTGGTGACGTGCCTCTGAATCTGTATCAAATGTACTCATGTGCAACCAGAGGCTATATGATGCATGGCAAAGATGGTTTCGAATCGCTAATGGTTCCGGCAGATCGCCAGATAGTGGACGATGAGCAAGGCCTACTGTTAGTGCAAATGCTTAGAATGTGGTTCTTGTCTATGAAACTGTTCAGCAAATGGCACGAGCATAGCCAAAACAAGGCTGTAGAGGTGAGCTCAGGCGTCAATAGCTGGAAAAAGAGACTGAAGAACTTGATCAGCGACAAGCTGCACAATAGGGATCTGACTATCAAAGAGCATGACGAACTGATGCGAGAGAAGGACATGCTAATTGAACAAAAAGTACTGGAAATTTGGCAAACTGGGAAAGCTACACATGGAAGAAATCATCCGGATTCAGGTACCCATGGAATATCGCCTGAACTAGAAGGAAGAATCATATGCGTGGATTCGAATGGTAGAGCGATAAAGTATTGATTCGAAATTGGCGTTGATTCGGGTTCGTTACAGTTTCGTAACAAATGATAGGCAAACTGGTATTACGAAGCACTTGTAGCAGATAGCATGTGGTAGAATGCATTGCTAGATGACGTAACTTTATATTTTAGACCTGTAATCAACTATGTCGCTTATTAATTATTAATTAATAGTGCTAGGTATGTATTGCGTATTATTAATTAAATAATATAGATAATATTCAGGTAACCTTAACTTCCTACTTGTCAGTGTTAAATAATTCTCATTGTTATTTCATCTCGCAAACTAAGACTGAATATTCTTAGATTGTTCAATCTGTGTTATGCTTTACGGTCAGGATTTTGTACGCATAGTCACTTATCTCCTCTGAAATGTGCTGTGCTTGTATCAGAAGTAGATAGTAGATACACCTCACAAGATGAATGTCTCATGTTGACTCAGTAATTCCTTTCTCGCATATGTGCAATACTTAAATATTTCTGATCTATAATACAAGTGTATCGTGACTTATGTCCAACGCCCTCGCTAGTCATATCATTACTGTGAATGCCCTAGTATGTCATCGATATTCCGCTTGGCATTCTTGTATGTGGTCTCCAAGTAATAAAGTTTCTTTGTCAGCGCTTCTAGCTGGTCTTCGGTCTCACTCTTTTCCTTTTCTAATCGCGCGATATGCGCTGTTATGGGAACATTCAAGAACCTATACAACGTTAGTACATTGTCCGCATTCCGTAGTAGACATCTTAGTTGCTGGATTCTACATTTTTCCAACGCCTTCCCAAACTCCGACTGATGGTGGAATATCTCTCAGTTCTTTCATTGTCAGATCTGTTAATCTTATGTCGCGCTGTTTCTGTGCGATTTGTTGTCGAACACTCGTCAAATCTAACTGAGACTGCATAACACGCATTTCAATCTCTTGAAGGACCTGCAGAAGTATTACCGTTAGTATCCTGATGCGAAGGTATAGCCATGATCTTGCAGGCTTAGACTTCGACTGGCCTTCTGGAGAGCTTCTGGTGGAATCGACATTGTGAGACAAGTTCAAGAACAGTAACTTCCAATAACAATTAATATATTCCTTAATCGTATTGTTTTGACGTTTCATTTACTTCCATCCGATGCAGGCGAGCTGAGTACGGGCGTACAATTGGTTATATATATCGCTGTGTGATCGACCAGATCAGCCGAATCAGGTGAGATCTTTGTGATTCCAAAACATTGGTTTTGTGATTCCGCGTGTGTAACAACATGTGCCATCCATTTACAAAGCCCCGTGAAACCTAGCCCTGAGCATAAAAGATCGGACACGTAATGCGGCGATGCACAGTAAGTTGACAAGACATGCGCTTAGAGGATGGTCCCTTAATTCCCCGAGGAAGCTTCGCATTTTGGCCGCACGCTATTTGCATGTCTGCCCCATTAATACCTGCCGCAGCTTCTACGCGACAGAAGCCGTATCCACGTATTGCTTATGAGCCAACACTCGGACTACTCGTCATTTATTACATTAATCGTGCACTCACAGCACCTAATTAGAGCAATATGACGGGTCCACGTGTGATCCCTGACTGCGTCATTCCCCTGCAAGATGCACATGCGCAAACCCAAAGCACGCGACAGCTTTTATCTGATGTGTTCCCGTCGTGGAATATCGACAGAATAGACATCATGTCGCTAAAAGGCGGCATAACAAACTGCGTAAGTTATTATTTGCATCCCATGCATTAGAAGGTACTGGTCCTATGGCTAATAATCACTTCTGCTAGCTGCTAAAATGCATCTACAAAGCAGGCACTCCGCAGGAGATCGTGGTGCTTGTGAGAGCATATGGTCGAGGAACCGGAAGTATTATTGACAGGAATCGTAAGTCAGCTTGTGGGCTTAACTCGGCTTTCGATTTGATAGCTAAACATTGAACACACAGGTGAATTTTGCACGCACGTGCACCTTCACTCATACGGTCTCGCCCCACCTCTGCACGCTCGATTTAAGAATGGACTGGTTTATGGATTTATTGCAGGTCGGTCCGTCGACTATCATGAACTAAGCAACCCGATTTTAATGAAAGGCATATCGCGAATGTTGGCTCAATGGCACACTGTTCTGGATGCCTCTGCGATCAAAGCACTCATGCTAGAGCAGTCTGGTTTAAAATCGCACGAATTTGTCGACGATATTTGGCAATTGTGTCAGAAGTGGATAAATAACTTGCCTACGGACAACAACGTGCAAGTTAAGACCAAGACGGTACTAGCTAAGGAACTTGTGTGGGTGAAGAACGAGATTCAGTACAAGGGCGGTCCAACAGTTGTTGCCCATTGTGACCTACTAAGTGGAAACGTGATAGTGCCTGAAGATTGGTCATCAGAAATATTTTCCGTGCCACCAGTTACGTTCATTGATTATGAATACGCTTTGCCAACACCCAGAGCGTTCGACTTAGCCAACCACTTCATGGAGTGGCAAGGATTTGACTGCAAAGTGTCTCTAATACCGAAAGTAGGCGGCCCAGTCATGCGTGAATGGGGGAAGCAATATTTGGAGGGAACCCATCTTTTTAAGAGAGGCTCGTCCGAGAAGCAACAGAACGGTATTTCTGTCAGTGATGCAGATATCGATCAATTAATGCAGGAGATACGGACTTGGTGGGGAATGCCAGGATTCTACTGGTACGCTTACTGTATTGTATTGTAAGGTTAAGACAATGCTAATGAATCATGTAGGGGTATATGGGCTACGATTCAAGCTGTCATTTCTACAATTGAATTCGACTACACAAACTACGCGCAAAATCGCCTGTCGGAATATTGGTCATGGAAGCAAAACTACTTATCCACTAAGAAACCAAATTGGGAAAGTAATTTATAGATTTGCATTACAAAGACTCATATGAGAGAGAAGCTTGTCGGTTGGCATTGTGATAAGGTGTACTTTGTGTATTGTCCTAAAACTGTGACGGGTTCAGGTGTCCATGGGTATGTGTTTGCATTTAGCGGTCTTTTATTACTAACATTTTTACGCATTGTATCATTCTTGCTTTTTTCACGGGTTGATGGTAAAAAATTAGGAGTTGTACCTGTCAGCTCGCCATAAGACAATTGCAAAAGGTGTGTATATATTTGACTTCCACACTACGGAATGGCAGATTATAATAGAATGTATTATGTCATCTTACTCGCTGTACGCCTATGACAGCACCAGATGATTGTAATATCTATAGCGACTCATACAGTGCAAAGCAAATAGCGTCTCAAATTTGTGTGATATACCCCCCAAGACGTGAAGACCGCAAAATTGTTACTAGCTCACTCAGAGTTTTTTTGGACCAGCTTTCCTTTCCTTTCCTTTCCTTTCCTTTCCTTTCCTTTCCTTTCCTTTCCTTTCCTTTCCTGTCCTTTCCTGTCCTTTCCTTTT